TCTACCAGATACCAACTTGTGGTAGATGGTAGGCGTTGTACAAGAACAACGTACAAGATTGTTGATTCCGAGCGTGTCAACTGTTAAGGTCGTAAGTTCCGTAAGTACAGTGTAGTTCTCACGGGAAGGCATCACCCGCTGCGAGAGAAAGACATCGGATCCGAATAAGTAGAGACCGGATTTTCATGTAATTACATGTTTTTTGTCTTTCTACTTACCGTTCTCAATCTGGCGACGAGTCTTGGCGAATCGTCGCCCTTCTGACACAGTATTCAATTTTTTCGTTACACGTTTAAATATTTAGGACTGTATTTCATATTTTACATTTTTTGCTACTATCACAGTATATTTTTAATTTTATCAATGTTCTTCTATGTTTATAGATACGTTTTTTTATGAAAATACGTAATTTCAAAAAAATCAATTTTTTTCTGCATTATTACTGAGTGCTGTCGAAACGAGATGTTCTTACGATAGTCCGGCGAGGCCTACTATAGTTATCTCAGTGACGGAATGCGCGCGTCAGCGATTGATGTCAATTTCACTTTTCGATGTGAAAAGTTTCACTAACGACTGGTTTCGTCATCTTTAACCTTAATTTCCGAGAAAACTTTGGCGATCGCGAAAGCGTATAACTTGGATGCACGCCGCAGTTATTGCTGGTCGCAGATGTGGCCAGTTTGAATGAGGGCTTCTATTGCGTCTAGTCCAGGGTTTGCCAACTCAAAGCTCTGTGACGTCACAAAATCTGCTCTCCTACTCGGAAAACGAGCCGCGGAGCAAATCGAGTGCTGGACGTGGTGGGAAATGGGGGAGACCATAACCCGGGCCGACGACCCTCTCGGACTTAACACCAATCGCCGGCCCTGCAGTGTAGTGATTACCTTGGAGAATGCTATAAGGGGACATGTGTGAATGTGGCAGTAAAATTAAAAGTGCAATATGAATGTAGAAAGCAATGATATGCGTTATGACAGTAGAACTTAATGTTGTTGGTAGTAATTATAATGACTTGATGAAGGCTTCATAAAAGACCGAAACGTTGATTAAGAGGAGGCATGCTACCGAATACGAAACTAAATCAAGGGAAAAGAGGTCATTGAGTACTTTTGCAGGCAAATTAATAACTACAAATTATTTTCTTCGTAATATGATCAAAACAGAAAATTGCGGTAAAAAATTTTAAAGTAACTTTACTATAAGAGAATTCCGTATTGATGTATTGAACGTCTCTGTCACTTCTACGACAGTGATGAAAAATTGTATACATTCATATGCATCAGGAGAGCATCTCAAAGATATTAAAACCAGATAATCTATTACATGTTGTAGGACAATTAGTTTAATACTTCTAACAGACAACTCATTTATTCAACCGATGGTGACCATTTTGAGTTTCAATGCAACAAGCGAGCTATTAAAAGTTCTCCCTGCACTAGCGTATTACAGAGATCGTTGGCAAAATGATTGGAACATTCGTGCGTGACAGTTTGAACCCAAACTGTCGTTGTTGACACGAGATTATTGATTTCCGGCGGCTATCGACTACTTCCCTTAGGTTTAGTGTCTTCCCTTAGAACAAAGGACTGACGGCATCTCAAATCCAAAGGTAGGTTTTAGGTAGATTGTTGTGTAATTAATTTTTACTTTCTTGCGCTTGAGAAAGAACTTCATAAGAAGCGAAATTAATGTAATGCTTGTCGAAAAAACGATGAATTTTCGGGGGAACAATTTTTATTGCAGGGCCCTGGTGACGAAAAGGGGGACGAATATAGTTGCTAAATTTAGAAAAAAAACTCTAACACGTGGTGTACCATAATCCCTGTTTTGTGGATCCTTGATACCGAAAAATCGATTGACGGCAAAACGTCTTACTGTGAACAACGCTAGTGGTTAAACTGTTCAGTCGATTTTCTCCAAAACCTATATTTCCTGATTGATATAGCTGATGTCGAGGTCTCTTGAATTTGAAACGGATACTTCAATTTTGGAGCTACTTTACATGAAGCCCCTGAGGCATTTTTTAAAATTTTCGAAAAATTGGCGCAGTTGATTTTGATTAAATTTTGTTATTAGTTACTGTAAGGACGTTTAAAAAATGGCGCATGAGTAATGTTGTCAATGTATTGTTTCATAACAAAATTAGTTTTAACTATCGTAAAATTTCGCTGTGTAGAGTGCTGATATGAATTGGAAGTGTACTAAAATAGTGTTCTTTTTTGTTTTGCAAAACCGCAGTCCAGTAAAGTGGTATCTTCAACCTCGCTTGTTGCCGGACAGTCTGCCATTAGTGCGAACAGTTGAAAGCAAAATGTTCTCAAGTGCTTATTCTCAGTTGCCTGTTTCCCTACTTCATCGGTAAGTCTTACATAACCATTACATCATCTTGAAGGGGACATTACATGCTATTGATGTAGATCATGTCATTTATTTGACTTGCCTTATAAAAGATGTTTTTGGTATTTGGATTACACTGGCGGCGCCGATGGTGTAACGGTTAGCGTACTGGACTGTTGTACCTAAGTTGGCGGGTTCAAACCCGATTGAAGCCGTGGGTTTTTAAGGGCGACTAAATTCTTCGTACGCCTTCCTTCGGAGGGGAAGTAAAGAAGGCTGTCCCATGTTCGTAGATTTACTTGCATGTAAAAGATCATCAAGCCTAAATGACGCCTCTGAGCTAAATTCAAATCGCCTGTTTCTCGTCCAAGAAAAACCTCCTTTCTCTGCTAGTTGGTGAAAGCGTGGTCAGACAGAGGAGCGGGCCTGATGGCCTGAGTCTCGCCACGTAAAATAAGGCCAATTCAATTCAATACATTTACGCTGATGCTTTACCCGAATACCCGGAGGTTCCTAAGGTAATATGCTCAATGCGCGCTCAATGCTCACTGCAGGTAACGCGCTCAATGCTGACAAAGCTTTTCACACTTAGGGTCAGAGGCAGAGGTCAGGGAGGGGTGAGGAGAACCATCCAAAGCGATGTAAGTGATTCATTGATGTTTCCAGGCACGTCAACTACGGTCAGCCCCGTTTGTGTAGTGCATATTGTATCTCGGGAGGTAGCTTGCGGGTGATATCCCCCTCCAGGTATCTCCAGCGAGGGATCGCACTATTGGGACAAGCTCTAAGCCCCGAACCGATCTTCGTCATGTGTGATGTAGTGCACGGAAGTGTATGTTAAAGGGAAGAGACTAGAACAAAGAAGAGGAAGGAAAGATCGCGTGCGCGGTACGTGATCCGTTTTTTAGGACAATCGTCAGGCACACCTTTGGTAATGAAAGGACAGAGAAGAAGGAGAAACCAAGGACAACTACCGTTCAGAGTAACCAATTGCCTCCAGACAGCGACTGAATTCGTCCGAGCTATTTAGTTACTGTCGAAAATTTGTCACCGTCGTGACTCAAACTCGAGGACCTCTCGGAACGAGTCGTTGCAGAAGCAGGCAAATGGCTTTGCAAATTGCAAAGATTGTAGTAGAAAAAAATTAGGTACGTACTACAATACTAATTTATGCAATTAGTTTTTAATGTTCAGCCTTGTTATATGAGTGCATATTTAAAAAAGTGAGCTACGTTGGGAGTGAGCTGGTGCCCCGCTGGTGGTAGATACCTAGCTGGGGAAATTCCTGCTAGCCCACGTGTCGGTCGGCGCCAGATCCTAAAACTGGTGGGGAAGAGCATAACGACTTCTCAAGGAAAACATGCACTACACTTACGCGACGTATCGCCGTAGTAGTTGAAAGGCACTTTAACACGGGTGAAAAGTGAAAGAGGTTGACGTGGTATAAATGTTCACTTATTTTATTCCATCTCTACACATAGCCCCCTTCGCCTAAATGAAGCTTTATTCTTCGTTTTCATTAATTATACAAACAAGTTCCCATTAATGTCAAAATGTTGACATTAAAATGTGGAAGCTAGATCTTCTATCACGTAATGAACGGTTCAAGAGAAAGTGGAAATTACTTGTTTCCACAAATTCATTCTCCTTCGAGGTTTAAGGAGAGTATTTTTCACGCTTTGAATTAAAGAATCAAGAAACGTTTAAGAGTACAAGTTCACTCAGACGGTGCACGAAAGAAAGATAAAAATGATGATATATAGAAGATAAAATGGAAAACAAACAAGTCATTGTTTGTTGAAGTCGTAGGCTTCCACGGTCGGAGTCATGTCAACGATCTTGGCTGTCCGGAACCAGCCCAAAGGTGACGATCGCATGGTAGTGAAAACAAACACTGGCCCGCGAATGATCTTGGCTGTCCGGGTGACGCCGCGTCGAAGTCTGTATTGCCGACGATTCGACCATCTTATCGTGGTCTTCCTCGAGAGT